AGGCTAACATATTCTCCATCACCCAGCCAGGTTTCAGTAAGACAAAATAAATCAATATCATAATCTGATATTAGTTCATTTACTAGTACACCTTTAGAAGAGAGAGATCTGATGTTTAAGAGTCCACATTTAACTCTCCTATTCGTTTGCACTATTGCTCTTGTGGTTTTAATTTTTATGAGGTTTTTATGTACAGCTCCTCTTCTGTTTACCTTTGACTTAAATAATTTCGATGGTCGGGGGGCAGACACCGTCACTATAGGATTTTCACTAAGTAACTCCTGGAATGGAGGAGCAGAGAAGTGTGTTAGACTGTGACTCTGCGTAGGGGTTTGGGTGGGTAACTGCTGAATTAGAAGGGTAGAGAAGTGTGTTAGACTGCGACTCTGCCTCCTGGTCTCAACTCTGGGTTGTCATGGACTTGGTCCACTAATAAATATGTATATACAGTGTGTGTGTGTGTGTGTATGTATGTATGTATGTATGTATGTATGTATGTATGTATGTATGTATGTATGTATGTATGTATGTATGTATGTATGTATGTATGTATGTATGTATGTATGTATGTATGTATGTATGTATGTATGTATGTATGTATATATATATATATATATATATATATATATATATATATATATATATATATATATATATATATATATATATATATATATATATATATATATATATATATATATATATATATATATATATATATATATATATATATATACATATATATATATACACACACTGTATATACATATTTATTAGTGGACCAAGTCCATGACAACCCAGAGTTGAGACCAGGAGGTATATATATATATATATATATATATATATATATGGGAGTGCAAAGCTCACCCAGAAAAAGGTATGTGACTGCAAGCAGCTGTAGATGAGTTCAACAGAAGAGTGCAGCAGATTAAAAGAATGACGAAGAAAAGGCCAGGCTACATAACCCACTCACCAGATTTAGTGGACAGTTGGGACAACTGACCCTGTGTATTCTGCCAGGTGTCTGCTGTCTTAACACTATTTGAGCATTTGGCCTCCAGATCATGGAGACTTCAAAGCATTCATCAGGAATACTGCTGACTCCAGCAAAAGATGGCCAAGAGCATGATATTGGCAAAAGATGAATGCATGTTACACGCAGAGCTATATAAATACAATACAAAGACATTTAAATATGGTTTTCATTCGAATGTCAACTTGTTTTTTTCTTCTTCATGTAAATGATTAAACTCTATTTGTATTAACTCCTGACAATCTCCAGTAAATTTTTGGGACTCCCAATTGCTGTCCAATTTTTCTGAGAGTAAAAATGTGTTTATTTCATTTTTATCTGGCCTGTTTTTGATGATTTTATCAGTAAGTTGTCTGCTACATCTGCCCAATTAGAGTGATCAATATTTAGTCAATTTCTAATTGACTCACAAACTTAAACAAATAAAAAGCAACTATTTCTCAAATCACCAATTTCAATTCTTTACTGGTATTTTCAAATATCATACAATCAACTTACAAATACACTGACTGTCAGTTTATTATGTACACCCAGATAAAACTAATACCATTGACTACAACAGCCCTGCAATAAATCCTACTTTATAGTGTTTTAGAGAGGTGTTGAACTTAATAGTGATTTTGTAGAATGTAATTTGCAGGGATGTATATATGGAGGGGTCTTTCTACTGTTTTGTCCACCTTCCACCAGATCAACAAGGTAGACTAAATTTTAGAAACACCCCTCAGTACAACAATACAATGCAACAGACCCACAAACTGCTGAGTACAGTCAGAATGCTCATAAACATGTTTGGTGTGAATGACAGGAGTTTTCTCTCTTCACAATTACACGATCACTGGCATGCTGTATCCTGTGAGGGAATCATGCTGCTGCTATTCAGGCCTTTTTCACTGTAAAATTTAAAAAAAGGAAGACTGGCGTCCACAGATACTCTATCAGCAGCAGCGCTGTGTGTGTTAATCACACTTGTTGAAGGGTGTTTTCATTTTTTTCATGAGATAAAATTCAGCTGAGCTTGAGTCAGCCCTGCAGACAGGGATATTTTATTTTACTGTATGGCAGTAAGGTGAGAACTTGCACTTTTTTTCTCCTGTTATATGGGGACTTAAATTTCCACATTGTTGACCAAATATCACACAGAACAGAAAACAAATTAGATGAAAGAAACATTTTTGCTTTAACAATATCGAAGTATAATAATTAAAAATCTAAGAAGATACATAGATAGATGCTTTATTTATTGTTTAAATTCACAAGTAGATTTATCTACTTCACTCCTCAACCTGTATGCTGCAGCAAGCCACTGAGTAGCTCTGTGATACTACTTTATATTTATAAGTTGAACTACCAGGTAAGAAAATATGTGTCTGTTACTTGATTGATTTGTTATAGTTGTACTTTGCTATGACAAAAGTTAGCCTAGCATAGCCCTGATTGACCCGAACGCCATTTAGAAAACAAGCATTTTAAAAGTTGTTGTGCTTGTCATTTTGATCAGTTTATAGCAGTTTAACCATAGCAAAATGTTTATTTTGGGTTCATACTGCTGTAGCAAAACAGATTATTGGCGAATATTTGCAGGTTGTATTTACTTACGTTAAAAGAGCTGCTTCAATGTACCAATTTGATAGGCCACTTAAAAAATAAACACCTAACAGTGAGCTCACTCAGGTAACTCAGGCAAAGGCTGCATACCAATGAAACACCTTTTTATATGAGCAACACACACTGGAGGTTACTAAAAGGAGGCCCCCTAGCGGCCGAGGCTCCGGTCAATTGCCCATATTTGCTCAATGGTAAAACCGTCTATGACAGCATCAGTACACGGATGGACCACACGGTACACACGAAGTAAAAAAAGTATGCACGTGCATGCATACAAGAGTGTGTGTGGATATAATACTATAAGTTAAAGGGCGTATTACACTGCACCAAAAGTAACAAAAGATGCTGTTGCAAGTCCAGTAAGACCTCAGCAGCCTCCCAGTGACACTAATTTATTAATATGCATCATATAAGCACAAAACTAAAACAATTATATGTCTCAAAACTAGATTTGACACAGGGACCCACTTAAGGCAGGGCCTCAAAATTAGATTTATTATATCAGCTGATATTGAGCATCTACACATAAAACTAAATGAGCACAAACCATTTGACACAGAAAACCTGGAGCTTTTTAGACAAGTTTGCTTTGCTGTTTAGTTTAATCTGTTAGAAATTAATTTCCAGTTTTTCTTTTGTTCCTATGAAGTTGGAATACACTTGTTAGAGGGAGCCTAGATTTGGACAAAACTGTCTGCCAGATGAATAAGGTGCTGTGTCACAATATGTTATTATTATGTTATTAGGACACCGTGTGTTATTAGGGTGTTGGTAGTAAGAGAATTTGTGTAGGAGTAGGGGGTGACGGTGGGTTTCAGTTTTTATTTATAACACAGTCGTTTGCAGTTTGGTTTTTTTTTCATGTGGTCCACGTGGTATAACAAAGTAGTGTAACGATCTCACTTTCTTTCACTGTCTCTCTCACGCAAGGGTTCATTTGAGCAAATAAGGCAAATAACAACAGAACTGCTACTGCAAACATCATCGGCTGAAACCTACAATGGCTGTTTGACTACTTCCGCGCAGGCGCACATTGAGCGACAGTCGGTCTACCAAACTGGTCATACAGCGGGTGTGAAAATGGTAGGTAACCAAAATAAACACAAACCCGGGCATTGTCTTTGGTTCCATTAAGGTTTACCTTCAAGACTATTATCGTGTTAATTAAAGTACATGCCGTGTCGGGTTTTGGCAAGCCTACAATGATAAGTTACTTGTGTTCGCTGCTAATACAGGGAAGGTCAGTTGATATTTTGAGAGCAGCTAGCTAGCTACACTACCCTTTTAGGCAGTCTGGCAACTTCGGCTTTCAGCGGGTCAGCCATTGGACTTAAAAGACAGACACAAACAGTGTCGTTTGAGTGAAATACTGGCATAGCCATAACCACAACGACAGTATTTCAGTGATACTTTCCACATCGTTAATCGGCGATACATTCTGGCTAACATAGCTAACGTTAGCCAGTATAAGTTACTAGCTGGTGGTATGTAACGTTAACGTCAGACAGTGCTAACCAAACGTTACCCAAACAGTCGATACAATAATCCTTGATGTCTTAACAGCAGCCAGTACAGACGTTTGACTTCACGTGGTCGTTATTAAATCAGCAAGTGCTGGTGAAGTTATTAGCAGCTTGGTGAACTCACAGAGTTTTAGTCTCCAGTTTCAGGAAATGCTGCTCCTCAGTGACGTGCAAGTACTCAGAAACTGCAGCTGCTGTGAGGAGATGGCATGAGGATTTTTTGATAGAGCTGGGACATATTTGAGTATAACATCGATCAGGGTTGGAATATAAGATGTTTTTCATTATTAGTTAATCTACTGTGAATTTACCCAGTTAACATTTTTGTCTTAAAATAGTTTTAAAAAATAGCAACATCACAGTTTCTCAGAACCCAAGGCGACGTCACATTTGAGCCGATGTCCACTGTATTTTGGGCATTTTTGCTGAAAAAAATGACTTGAACAATGAATCGATTAACAAAATTGTTGTAGATTAATTTACATTTTTTATTTAGCTGATACTTTTATCCATAGCAACTTACAATAAGTGCATTCCACCACATGAATACAGTCCAAACATTACAAGAACCATGCAAGTACAGCAGCTCAATCAAATATGCAAATTTGAGTCATTCATCTAATTAGTAAATCAAGTAAGCACAACTGATGCAGTGTTAGGAAACCAGATATAATCTGGAATTTGGTTTAAAGTATGACAATGACTTTATTACTGGTATTTAACAGCTGTTTTGCAATGTAATGATACAATTCTGAACTGTCTTGACTGGCTCCAGCTGAGTGAAATGTACACTGAATGTCTCTTCAGGCTTGCTTTCATAACTGATTCTTAAAAATGTTCTTATGTGCACAATTTCATACCATAAATTATTTTCATAATATCTGTATATAAAAATATTCTGACAATATTGTGTAATTTGAATTTCTTTTCTTTTTTTAATATTGCAAAGTATTTCGGGCAGGGTGCTTGTGTTACACTCCAGACTTATTGCACCTCTAGGTCCCTGTTATGGCATCCCATTTTCCTACTCATGTTACATCTATGACTGTAGTTATCTGAGGGGCCCTCCCGGGTACAGCATGTGCTTTTAAAATTCACAACATCCCCCTTCAGAAAAGCCCATGTTGCTCTTGTACAGGACATAATTACTACCACAGCGTCTTGGCTCACCACCTAAAATGTGTGTTTTTCTGTGCGACAGACTAACCTTTTGAAATGTGAGTGTTTCCGTGTCTCCCAGTCTTCTGTGTCATATTTACTGTTGCCTGAATGCCTGTAGATGTGTGTTTCTCGCTGTGTGTCTTTGTCTGTGTCTCGCTCTGTATTTGCGTTTTGTTGTCTGTACTCCCTAGTCTGATCACACCAGTGTCTGACAGCCCCTGTCCTGTACTTACACAGCATAAGCTGAAGTCTTCACAGAGGGACAAGGTACGGCAGTTCATGTCCTTCACACAGGCTGGGGAGAAGACAGCTGTGTACTGCCTCACACAGAATGACTGGAAACTAGAAGTTGCTACCGACAACTACTTTCAGAATCCAGATCTCTACTGTAAAGAATCCATGAAAACGTCAGTAGACCGGAAAAGGCTGGAGCAGCTCTACAATCGCTACAAAGGTACAGTCTTGGTTTTACACTGTAACTTAGAATATTTACTAGTGTAGAGTTGTTCTAAAAAGGATTGTACTATTTATAAAAATTATAGACACTACTTGTTTGCAAAAAGGGTTAGTGTAACTTGTTGTTTTTTTTCCATTGATAGATCCCCATGATGAGAATAAGATTGGTATCGATGGTATCCAGCAGTTTTGTGATGACCTCTCGCTGGATCCAGCCAGCATCACAGTGTTGGTCGTCGCATGGAAGTTTCGTGCTGCCACTCAGTGCGAGTTCACCAAGAAAGAGTTTCTGGATGGAATGACAGAGGTGGGGTGAGTGTTGAAATCAACAACGTCTGACGTGCTCCAAAGTGGGACATAAACACAGTACCCGAAGTATCTTCGCATGGCGGTTCTCTTAGTGTAGCTCCAGGGAGGGAAGGCTTTCTATATATAGACCCACTCAACCACAGCTTGAGTATTCTGTGTCTTCGTAGAATGATTCAGTGGAGGAGCTGTAGTGTTTTGACTTTTAAGGTTCATGCGTCAAAGTTAGCTTCAGCCAATTTGTCATTGGCATCAAGACTTTCATGTTCCAGCTGGTTTGGATATCTGTGTGTGTGTGTGTGTGTGTTCGATTTAAAGTTGTTTTGTTTATTTATTGCTTAAATTGTTTATTTTTCTAGATGTGACAGCCCAGAAAAACTGAAGGCCCTTTTGCCAAGATTAGAGCAGGAGCTCAAAGATAGTGGGAAGTTCAAGGACTTCTACCAGTTCACCTTTAACTTTGCCAAAAATCCCGGACAGAAGGGTCTAGGTAAGAAGAGTGTCATGCATGGTGTCAGTGTTATCTCTGTATTACAAACTGAATTAAGTTTTCTGCTTTTTGTCTGTGTGCAGACTTGGAGATGGCTGTTGCCTACTGGAACCTGGTTCTGTCAGGACGATTTAAGTTCCTTGATCTTTGGAATAGATTCCTTTTGGTGAGTCAAAGAAGTGAAATTAGGGATGCACCTGTCAAATATGCTGGATTGTTGTCAGCGCAGATACTGAATTTATAAAGCAGATCAGGGATTGGCCATGACACGACCGACCAAAATACAATTTATTTGTCAATGTCAATTTAAAAATAGTAAACTTACATTCGTCAAGTCATAGCAATAATGTCTGGCTTCATGTTACCTTACATAAAAACAATACCAATGAGTACAGCACAGTTAGGGATACAGATTTAAAATTTTGGAAAAACGGCTTCTGGTATCAGATTAGTGCTTGAGATCAGCAGATATTATGAGTTTAGGTACCAGGATTGAGGGCGTAGTGATGGGGAATTTGGCTAAGGCTATGCTGGCTTTCATTACACCTCGCTGATTAGCACAAGCTCAGTGAAAGAGGAGTGTCAACGAGTGTAACCAGATGGTGTGTGGTTGGAATGAAAACCTGCATACTCTTAGATTTCCTGAACTCATGCTAGCCCACAGGACCATCAGTGATTTACACTAAGGTTATAGAGAGAGAAACACACATATATATATAGCAATAGGTTCACCAGGGCTTGTTCATTACAGGAACACCATAAACGATCCATCCCAAAGGACACATGGAACCTATTGTTGGACTTTGGTAACATGATTGCAGATGACATGTCAAACTATGATGAGGAAGGTGGGTAGCATTCACCCATTTGCTTTCTTAACTGTGAATATGGACTGTTCGATTTAAATCATTGTGACACTGATGATCTCTTGGTGTTTCTTTCTCAGGAGCATGGCCCGTCCTTATAGATGATTTTGTGGAATTCGCTCGACCAATTGTAACAGGATCAAAACGTAAGACTCTCTAAATCCAACCCCAAGTCTGGAAAGCCAGAACGTTGTTTCTTTTACAGTGACTTCATAGTTTTTTTTAAGACTTGTACAAAAAAAGTGAAAAGCTTTGACTTCAGAGAGAAAACGGAAGCACTTGAAACTGTCAAGAAACTACCTTTCAGGGAGCTGAGTAAAAACAATGAGAAACAACTGGCCACATTTTTGTCCTCGTGAGACTGAGGCGTCATGCGGACATCGCCAAACTCACCTCTGTCTGTCCTGTTGGATTCTCCGTATCCTGGACGCCCCTAGGCTCTGCTCCAGGAGGAGCACTACCTGTCAGGCCACAGCCCTGTAAGTGGGGATGGACACAGTACTAAGCGGATGTCTGTTGGCGGTGTGTACTCTAAAGGGATTGGAGAGGAGAAAACTGTGTGTTTTTAAGATTCTTCCTAGTCAGCTTTGTTTTGTTATATGAAGTTCCAGAGTGACTGTGCAAAGCTCCCATGTCTTACTCTCACTTTGGGACAGAGTGCTCACGACACCAGCACCAACAGAACTGTTGCAGTTTTTACTGTACATACTGTATCTATTGGGACAGTTTACAAAGATAGCTATATGAAGAATAATATAAATATGTTCAATTTATAAATGCAAAAGATGATTCTTTTATGTACAGTAAATGCTAAGATCTCTAACGGGATGCCTCAATATCGTGGATGACATGCTGTTGGTTTAATTGTTAGGTGGATCTGTCAAGTCAAGGAGTTGTGAGCTTCTCATTGAAAGCATTTTAGACACATTTGACGTTGCCTCGGGCTGTTTTCACAAATACATTTTCACTCAAGTAAAGGCAGTGCTTTAATTTAGATAATTGATATTGGTTCGTGGTACTCATTTGTCCAGTTAGTCTCAGTTTGGTCTTGAATCCTAAATGTAAGTCTGATTGATCCGTCAGTCCTATCCACAATAGCACCATTTTGCTTTCAAAAGATAGTTTCTTTGTAACTGTTGACGAAAGACTATTTATCTAGTGACAAATCCCTCTGAGGCATTAATGATGCTGTAGCAGCATTTAAGTAAAGTTTAAAGTTAAGAAATTACAGACCCTTAGGATTGCATGGCACATATCTGTATGTTATGGCAGTGCGAAGACCTCAGTTCAGAAGCCAGGACACTAAAGAGGGCAACGACAGGATGACAAAGTAAGCCTTAAGAATAACTATCTGTCTGTTCAATATTTATGTTTCCTTTCAAGCCCATCTGTCCAGTGTTACTGAAGGTAGTGAAAAGTAGAGTATATTGTTGATACATCATGTAAGTATATTGTTCATTTAAGAAAGATGAATAAAGCATGAGTTTTTCCATAATCATACATGTAAAAAGTTCTTTTGTTGTTGATGAATTAGATGAGGGACAGTTTATATCACATACAGAACAGTATAATATTAAAGGGGAGTTCCTTGGTGGCAATTGTTGGGTCTCTGTAAATAATACAAAGAGTACAGTACAGACCACCTGCTCCATATAAAAAGTGTAATGAGATAAGTTCTGTTATGAATTGGCAGTATATGAGTTGCATATAGCTGCTTAGACAAGAGTGTATTATATGAGGTAGAATTGATTGTGTGAAAAAGATTTATAACCACACTGATCTGAACTTGTTAAAGCTTTAATATTACATTTTTCAGAATATTCCTCCATGCTGTTGATTGTTAATGATAAACAATATTTCATTTACAGTACTTTGCATTGGTAATTTGGTCAATTTGATAATAGTGCTTTGTAAAACACACATCATGAATTAGTTACACATTGTTCATTATGTTTTCATTACTTCCCTTTTTGAGACTTCACAATGTAATACATCAGAGGTACAGCACTGGATGATGATGAGCCGTCTGTAGCACTCTGAATGATCGTCTGATCATAAAGTTTAACACTGCGAATCCAGTCGGGGACCGTGTGTGTGTTTCTCTCTCCTTAGTTTAATTTCTCCCCTATTGCTATCAAATAAAAGCGTAAAAGGCTCAAAAATAATTTAAAAAGAGAGATTATAACCATTGAGAATATGGATCAAGAGGGAGGGCAGTGGGTTTTTGAGGAGGAGCAGGGCTGTAGCTACCATTCAAGTCCTACAGAAAAATGGTCAGGTGCCCGGTGGATTTTGTCTGAAAGCACATTAGGAAGGGGTCTTTTAATGGCCAGAATGAACAGGAGGAATGACTGTAGCAAGAAAAATCTGTTTCAGTGTAAATAAGAGCACCTAACTGCTGTTCTAAAAGACAAACACAAAAAATGTGAACCAAAGGACACTATTGGGATGCCCTCTGTATTGTGTCTGGGAATTTGGGGGATGTTAACAATCTTAGGATGAGTATGCATTTTACAGTTCCACCACATTATATTAAGGGGATTAAACAGATGTTTTGGCCACTTGGGGGCAGCGGAAACAGGTTGTGAACATTTGACATGAAAATCGCCTTATAAAGTAGATATGGATGGAGCAACATCAGCATTTATGTTTCTGACTACTTTCCTATTAGCTTTGTTTTGGAGGGAACATCTGTCTCTTTAAATGCTAAATGCTCCACTGTGTTCACCAGCTACTTGCTAGCTTTGTCCGTCTGCTTTTTGGTGCTGAGCAGAATGTGAATTTAGACATTATCAAAGATTTTATGCTGAAAGATTCTTTCAGCATAAAATCTTTGATAAGTTCTGAATGAAAGTTCAGTGAGAGTAAACCAAAACAGAAAAGGTTGTGGGCTGCAAAACCAAAATAATGACAATTTATCATTAATTATCATTGTTAGCATTGTTATTTTTTATTACAGATAACATGTTTAAACAGTTCAAAGAATATGTATCCCCGTTTTGCTAAACAGTTATATATTTCCTAGGGGTGTTGTGTTGCAGTGGTGGAATTTGGACTCATGACTAGTTTTTCTTCAACCCTAGTTAGGAAATAATATTTTACCAATAACAACAATATGTTGTTCCTCAAATGTAAGTTGCTCTAGATAAAAGCGTCTGCCAAATGAGTAAATGTAAAAAGGAAGAAACCAAAATTTGAAATGAGATGACTGTTGTCAATACTACTATTACCATTATTCCCATTACTGTTGCTACTACTCATTATAATGGACAGTAATATTTAAGGGGAAATACAAGCAAACATTACTGTTTCTCTTCCTCAAAATGTTTTGCAGGCAAATAAAGGACATACCTGCGGATGTTACCCGGCTGCTAGGTTACTTAAACTAGCCCCTCCTCTCACTCTAAATACTGTAAGGTGAGACATTTGAAATTCAGGCCGCTTTGTTATTTACTTTGACAGCAGCCAGTACTTTTCCAATTAAGACAAATGAAATAGCCTCCTCAGTGCATCAGTTGGTTAAAGCCTGGGTGGACTACTGTACCTGCAGTACATGACGCACAATGGAAATGGAAATGAAAGGAAATGCTTCCCAACCACTTACATGCAATGTTGGCAGTGGAAGGTGAGCTTTATGTTGATGTGTTGTTCACTCCATCTACATGTTTGGTCTTTCGTTTACTTATGTATATTCTTGATGCTTCCTTCCTGACTACCTGTTATTTACAGCAGCTTCCTTCCTCATCAACCGACTGTATTTGCACTTTAACTTAACTTAATAAACTTGTAAAGCTGCTATTAGAAGCCAACTACCAAGCTTAGTAAATTATTATAGCAAAGAGTTGTTTTGTGGAGAATACATGACATTTCTGAGGTTATTTCTGAGTTTGAATTTTGCTCCTTGCTCCTAATCCCACTTGAAAGTAATCTAAAACTGACTAATCACCCAGGTATGGCATTTGATCTCCGTGCTACAGAAACCCTACCCAGTGGTGGCTGTTGTAGTGTCTGTCATCAGGGAATAGGAGAGAGAAAGAAGGGTGGGGAGGAAAGTGACCCAGATGTCAGTCCTTTTCCACAGTTGTGCTTTGTGCACTGTTGTTCATTTGTATGTGGTACTTGATTGTGTGGTTTTGCCACAGCAGGATTGACCCCTATGGCTTTGAGAGACCTCACGATTTTGAACCCTACAAGGAGATGATGAATGAGTATGAAGCTGTCCTCAATAGAAGGTCGATGAGATGGTCCAAGCTCCTTCAAGAGAAACCCCATGTGGAGAAGAACTTGACAAGCACAAGTAAAATACATTCAAACACTGTTTTGATGCCATCTGGCACTCTGTTGTTATGAGATGTAATTGTAAAATCTTGTTTTGGAAGTGAAAAGGTTTGTGCGTAAAGGTGTGCCTAACGAGCACCGCACCAGAATTTGGATGGCAGCCAGTGGTGCAAAGGAACGACTGGAGAGCAACCCGGGTTATTATCAGTCTCTGCAGGCCATGGAACACGACTCCAAGCTGAAAGAAACCATTCATACAGGTGTGACAACAGGCCTTTTTCATATTTTGACATGTCACAGAAAGCCACAGGTGTGAATAATATAGTTAGAAATGACTGAATTCCATTTAGCTGCTTCATTTTCAGGGTTCTGGTATCGTGCACAATGGGCCAGTGACACATTGTCATGACCTACTGCGACCCTTGAATAGAACGAAGCCATCATTAATGATATTAGTAACACCTGTGCTTTCCCTACTATTACATGACAAAATATCTGTTGTCCCTCTTCTTAAAAAACACCCATACCTTAACTTGTATCAATACACAGGTCCATATCATAGTACAATTCTTGTCATGTCTTTTGGGCAGACATGCACAGGACCTTTCCTGATAACGTCCTCTTCCAGAGCAAAGGAGAAGCAAGCCTGCAGACGGCTCTGTACAATGTGTTGGTGGCCTACGGACACCATAATAAGGCAGTGGGGTACTGTCAGGTGAAGTAAACACTTTCACAGACAAGAGTTGAATCTCCTCCCATTTACCATAACATTTGTTTACCCAAAGAACAGGACTGGCTAGTTCCTTATTCATTTAAATACCCTGGACACAACTTCACTAATCCATGTCAGCTTCCTGTAAAGCAAATCTATTTTTGATGTATACTGAAAGCACAGAGCTTTCCCTTCAGGGATGAATAAAGTATCTATCTGTCTATCTGTCTGTCTGTCTGTCTGTCTGGTGACACAATCAGATCTTTAATTATGCTTTTGGAAATAAGTTGTTGCTGGAGATGTCCTGCATAAAATCTTCCATGTATTTGGCTCCATGTGTGTTTTTGTCCATAAATCAATCAATGACCTATTAGCCAGTGAGTTCACACACAGTCAGATCATTGTTGTCTCTGTTTATTCCAGGGTATGAACTTCATTGCAGGATACCTCATCATCATCACCAAAGATGAAGAGAAGTCCTTCTGGCTCATGGATGCATTGTTGGGCAGAATGCTCCCAGGTAGAGGCTTTTTTTAATGCTCATGCGTGCAATTAAGGTCCCTTTACACCCCTATAGGTGTTTTCAATGTCTGAATAGAGGTCTGCTCAGGCTGAAATTGATGTATCAATAAAAATGGTATATGTAGGTGTGAGTTGTCCGGCCTTTATGCTCAGACTGTACACACCCACAAAGTCCTGAGAGGAGGTCTAATCAACAACATAAGGTGGTGCAGGACCTTTAATCAACCAAACTTTATTTGTATAGCACACCCGCCTCTCGCTCAGTGTCAGCTGGGATTGGCTCCAGCCCCCACGCGACCCTGCATGGATAAGTGGTTATAGATAATGGATAAATGGATAAATGGATTATATGCTGTACTGTGCTTTACAGTAAGTGAATGTATAATACCAATGAAGAAGGAAAAGAAACACTGAAAGGCAAAAGGCAAGGCAAGTTGTGTAAAATCTCTTCTAAAATGAACGGATTAAATAAAACAAGTTAAAAGAAGCCTTTAGACTTAAATATCTGTAAAAACACGTGATTAGCTCTTTGCTTTGGTCCAATTAAAGCAATCACAGCAGCATGCTTAACAAGTACAGACTTTTAGTCTGAGAGTAGTGCATGACAGTTATTTAAGCCTGCACACAACAAATGTTGAAATATTCTGCATGATCTTCTCTTGTGGCTATTTTATATTTTATAATAACATTCAAATATATTTGCCTGTGTTGTACAGTCCTTCTTATTTGAACCAATACCTTCCAGTGTTTTATCCTGGACAACTTCGAGTAGATTAGGGTTTTTTAAGGTAATCAAGGCAGATAAATATATTTGTTGTAATGACTATATAGAATTGTGTGCCATGTGCATAACAACCCTCGTTGTAATATAAAAGAGTAGGGGAACCAGGTTGGAGCCTTGTGGCACTCCAAGTGGAATATTAATTCTTGCAAGAACTTCCAGACCAACACGACAATCTTAAACATTTCCATTTTAGAAACAAAACCAATTCACAATTGTGCTTGATAGACCGACCAACAAGTATCACTACTGCACTCAGATAGGAAAAAAGCTGAAGTTATCTGCTTTGGGGATATTGTAGACTACTACAGCCCGGCTATGTTGGGTCTGAAGACTGACCAGGAGGTTCTTGGGGAGCTGGTCAAGACTAAAGCTCCTGCAATAGGACAGCTCATGGCCCAGTATCCTGGCATATGGACTCTGGTGGTGTCACGCTGGTTCATCTGCCTCTACATTGACATACTACCAATTGAGGTGAGGAAATGTTAGGGTATAATGTTAGAGACAAATGAGGAATTCATGGTGATGCTGAAGCACAACATTTTACAAACGTCTTTATTGTTTCTTGTACAGACCGTTCTGCGGGTCTGGGATTGTCTTTTCTATGAGGGCTCCAAGGTTCTTTTCCGTGTTGCTCTGACTCTCATCATCCACCACCAGCCAGAGATCCTAAGAGCTCGCTCTTTGATGGACGTGTGCGAGTGCTTCAAACAAATCACCTGTGGAGCTTTCACTCTGGACTGCCACAACTTCATTCAGGTAATGAGAAACGACAGTCAGAGAAACAAATGAGAAAACACTGGCCCATTTTTTTTGTTCTGATGTAATCAATCCAATTAGCTATTCCCTGCTTAAAGTAGTTCAAACATCAACACCAGTTCTCCATCACTGGCAAATGTTCGCAAAAGGTCGACTTGCATTAGTGCTTTAGGGCTGCAACAAAGAAAACTAATTATTTTGGTCCTTAAAATGTACAAAAAAAAGGGAAACATTTGGATAAAAAGTTCCTGGAGCCCAAGGTGATGTCTTCAAAATGTCTTGTTTTGGTCAGATAAAAGCTCTAAAACCAAATATATACAATATACTATCATATAAGACAAAGGAAAGCAAGGAATCCACATTTGGGAGGCTGGAAGCAACACACTTATGGCTTTATTTTCTTGAGAAAATCTGTAGATCAATTAAATTACTCAATTAATTGTTTCAGCTCTAAAGTGCTGAACATTAATCTATTTGGTGACATTCTCTCAAACTCTGTTTTTACAGAAAATCTTTACAGAACCTGGGAGCCTATCTATGGCAACTATTGATAAACTGAGAGAAAAATGCAAACAACGAATACTGGAGGAAGAATCTGGACCACTGTCAGGCTTTTGATCCACCGCTGAATATCTGCTTAACCTGCTTTCATTCAGTATAATAAAGTAACACTGTGTGCAAACATAATGGACATATTGGTGGATATTTGGTTGCTTTTCTTAACAATTGTTATTTTACTCTAATCCAGTTGCCTGGATGTTCTGAATCTGTTCAAATGATATTTGTGAACCTTGTCTTTTGCTTGGTTTCACATGTTTTGCTGCTATAGATACTTGAAGATAATCACACTTGATGCTCTGTAGAAATTTTAATTTGAAATTTTACTACATTGTATTGTTGAATTATTTTACAGAAGTAGTATGGGAATGATTTTTTTTTTACTGTGGAGAGTAATAGTTGGGAGAATGCAATTTGAATTTTCAGTCTTACGGGGAAAAGAAGAAATAATGTCTCTTGCAGTGGAACACTGTTCTAACCGTCCATTTCTCTTTAAGAAGTAAAATTAGATGTATAATTTGGTGTGGTAACTGCTGTCCTTATTTACAAAACCTTGTGTGGCACGTTTTTATTGTTAACAGAAATTTAATAATTCAGATTTAGCTCACCTCAAAAGGCCTCTGCCAAACAAAGATAAAGAGAAGTGGTAATTGTAGTGTTACATGATAGTTCAGTATATTAAGTTTAGAAATCTCCTAGGACTGCTGAGTCACAGAAAAATCGACTAAACTGTGAAAATAATGTCTTAGTCACAAAAAAAAGCAGTTCAGACAAATGGCTTATTCTCAGTTATTCTATACTCACTAACACCAATTTTCTACCCCACATCATTATTTTTTTAATGATCTTAACATCGATCTAGCTTACTACGATGTGCTACGATGCCAAGTGGCTCATGCCAGCCAGAAATCAATTGCATTTGTTAACTCTATCTTTCATTGTTGATTGGCCATTTGCCCGAGTTAAGAGTTTATGTCCAAACTAGTTAGGTTTTGATCCAAGTAATCATGGTGCAACCACTTTTAATAGCTGATTTAGTTACAATCAAACTAGTAGTTACTACCCTTCCAGAGTCGACTTCATACCCTAACTTTACTATAGCTAGTGCAACCCAGTGCTGGAAGTTATTCAGTGAAATAAACAAATGCAAAATAAACAACTTTAAATATTCTGATATGAAATAATATCAATATATAGCTATTTGTAAGTCCAAAGAGCCTACAGCCATGTACAGACAGATGATGGACAGATGATGAGACAATGGGGCCTCCAACCCCTCTGACATTCTGCAGGAGCAGGGGAAAATAAACTCCATGTCATTTTTCTTGAGTCTTGTTTTTAGTCATTTTAGTCATCACCTTCTTATTCTGAAAAGGAGGGGGACTCCCCACCACCCACCCCTCTTGCCCTGCCCATGCAAATCTGGAACATGGACCAAAAATATACCTTTTCCTGGTTTTATTCAGATAATTCAGTGAACATGCTTCCTGTAAGATGCATGATTTGTCAAAGGCCTTTGAACAACTTTCCCCCACCCTGCATTTACAAACAGACCAACTCTTTGACAAGACAAATACATATGAGCCAGGTACTGCGCTTTGTTTTATGAACGGTTTCTGTGCCCAGATGTGATCAAACTTAAAGTATTAAAACACTGCACTTCAGAGTCCTGCTGGCTATGAGTCTCTAAGACTCATTCACACCTCAAGGACATAAAGCCTGCATGGCTGACTTAATCAAACCTCAAAACTAAAACTGTTGTTTAACTATTCAAGAAAGGGAAATTTATTCTGATTCTTTACACATTTTTGTAATTTAGACATTATTTTTTATTGAGAACACGATGCATTTCCAGTACCACAAATACCGGTATCTAAAGAGCCAAACAAACAAGACCATCCAGGAACAGGTTTGACAGCACACAAAGTAAAACAAGAAGTGAAACAGCCTCATTCATTCACTTTTATTGACCTCTGCTTTAGAAAACAGTTCAAACAAATACATTAAAACCTTATTAAATCATTACATGGCTATATAGATGACAGAGCGGAAAAAAGATACATCAAAAATGCATATCTACAGTACTAACAGTACATGAAGGCTACGTGAGACAATGAGAAAATGTCCCAAACATGGCAGCACACAGTGTCAGTGAGCAAGTACCTCTGTGCTATTGGCTTTACTTCAGTCCCATCTATCTTACAGCTGGGAAGGCACTGATGAACAATGACCAGAGCATTTTGGTCACTTTAATCATTACATGGGGCCGTTTCTCAGGACTTTAGTGCAACTTCTTTCCCTTCAGCAAACAAAATCCCAAGTGGGCCCATATTCAGGGAACAAAAAGAAACAAACAAAACCACCCAGCGAACTATAACACTCATCATGATCTTACAGTGATGTCCTGAGATTATCCATCCTCCTAAACCAACAGTACAGTTTTTAATGGTTTAAGCAACTCTAGTTGTGCACATTGTAACAGCAAAATCCAAAAGAGTGGCTACTATGATGTAAAGGAATGGTTTGATATTTTGGGAAATTCACATTCTTGCCGAGAGATAGTTGAGAAGATCAATACCACTCATGTCTGTACTGTAAATATGAGAATAAATATGTTGTGGTTATACAGGGGGTTATGTGACACACTTATTTTACTGAAATAGTTTGTCACATAACCCCCTGTGAAACCACATGTCGTTTTTACACTTCGTGTTTGTGTAAACAAACTAAACAGAACATGATGATCAGTGAGCCTTGCAGACAGATTTTGTTATCTTTCCTGTCTTTGTGCTAAACGAGGCTAACTGCCTGCTGGTTGTAGCTTTCCATTAAGCAAATATGAGTGGTATCTTCTCATCTAACCCTAAATATGCCTGTTTCCCAAAATGTTATTCCTTTAAATAAAGTGGTAAAAAAAGAAAAAAAAACCCACTTCAGCCCAAACACAATATTCTTACAAAGCTGACCACTGCAGCTATGGATTCCATTCAAAATGTGTTGAGTACCTTAATATGAGACGGGAGGACATATCAGTACTAATAACAGTGAGCAAAATCATTTCCTAAATGCATCTTAACTAACTTTCAGGAGCAGGTTACTGTGTTTTTAGTGTTTTCCCTAAAACATGCATACTTGACTTACATGTAGAGTACTAGAGTAGAACAGTCACGATTTTTTTTTTTTTTTTACTCTCTCAAGTGGATTAAGTTAAACAGCCAGAAATATTCCCTTTGTATTAACAAACCTCATTTAAGGCAAGACCACTAAAATGGTCCCCCCCTAAAGCAGATTAACAATAAGAAAAGCTACAGGAGCGATTCCCTCAAATTCTACAGTCCCTCAAAATTCCTTTCACAGAAATCATAAATAGTACAACACAATGTGAGGACTCCCATGGACCCTTTGATCAGCATCCACACCCCTGCTTTACATGGTACCAGTTTTTCCTCATTTCATTTCAATCTCCAAACAAAGTCCCAGTTTTTTTATGACAGAGTGGGTCAGTTCAGAAAGAGCATATCAACTTCCACAATGTGATAATGACTAGTGTTACTGATGAGGGCTAAAAACTGCACACACATGGGGCTATTAAGGATGTAGGAATAGAGGAAAGGGAGGAGTGTTAAGTGTCATAAAACAGTGGTTAATCTCAGGGGTGGGGATAGCGCGCTCCAGCGACAGGTGACCTCAGATGGTCTGGTAGCCAGCATGGCTCCTCTTCCTGCCAATGAGGTAGGCCAAGAGCACGATGAGGACAAGACCTGCTAAAGCTGCTCCGACTATGATGGGGATCAACATGTCATCTTCATCCAACTGGCATTCCTCAGCTGAGAGAGTAAAAAAATAAATTAGAGCAAGAAAGCAGTCGATTTAGTTCATGACATTACTAGTGGAACAGAGGCGTTTACCTGCTCCAAACCGATCTCCGGTGAGACCGAAGGGCTGCACCTGCAACTGGAAGGTGTTGATGGACAAATCCTTGACCACGTTCAGAGTTTGTTCCTCGCGGCACATGTATGAGAACCCCAGGGTGCCCCGCAGGTAGTCCAGGCTGTGGTTGTTGGCTGAGAAGGGCTCTATAGCAGAGGACAGAACAGGCAGTGATTACCAGAGTTCAGTAAAACAAAAAAGGAAGAGAGACTTGAGACAAAATGTGAAGAGGGAAAACAGATTTCAATGAAAGGAGATCCACCTTAGAGAAGGAGGAAGATTAAAGAAAGATTTCACCAGGGGGGTTTTCTTGCATAAATAGAATGCACTTTTTTGTTGAAGATCTGATGATCTCAAAAGTAACTGCATCCATTAAAATAAGAGATCAACTCTTGAGTAGTTGAAATAGCAAGACTACACTCGAGCCAATTGGCATGACCCACTAAAAGAAGTACAAAATGTTGTAAAATGTGTTGTGGACAGAATACAGGAGAAAGAAACCTAAGATGGAGGGAAGAGTTTTAGATCAGCTAATTGACTGAATGAGTTTGTGGTTGACAACAGGAAGGAAACATGTGGATGCATTCTTGCAGTTATTTCTGTTCTAAAAACATCTAACTCGCATCTTACTGTTGTCGTTAATGTATGGTTTACTCAGTTGTTTACTTCTGTTGCATCTCCCTCTCCCCCTTGTTTCCAGTCATCGCTCTACTGTCTGAATAAAGGCACTAAAAAGCCAGCTAAAAATACCAATAATGTATTATAAACTAATAACAATAATAATATTCAGTTACATTTTCAATGTGCCGAAAGAAACAACATACAGGATTTGAGACCACAACACTGTAAAAACAACAAAAAGATTTATGTATAAATATTAGATTGGGACCTGTCTTGTTTAAATTATAAAAAGGAGACAAATGTGTGTCAATGTTACCGATGCCGCTTAAACTGATTACTTTGGGCCTCTGGAAGAAGGAAAAAATGTTAGAAACACCTTTCACTATGATGCAACTAAATATTTCATAATGGTAGGATTTATTGCAGGGCTGCGGCATTAGATTGCATTTCTGTTTTTTCTGACATTTCAGATCTTCTTAGGTATAACATATGAGGGGGTCCTTTGTAATATATACTATTTGACTACAAATATTTGAACACCCAACTCACAGTCAGCTATATAGTTACACAAGGCCTAACACATCAGTGCACTCACCTTTCATGTCCAGCCAGGCTGCTGACAGAGACACTTCACTCAGGTGGTACTTATTGGATGTAGTATTCTGGAGAAAAATAAGCAAGGCCCGCTTAAGTCAGTAACACTGCAGGAAGGAGAGTTTACCTCAAACTCCAGCTGCCATCTAGTGGTTGTTACCAGTACAAGGTAAAAAATAAAGCAAGAAGAGAAAAGGCACTGGGGTTTTATGCACATGGCTGTGATATCTTAAAAAAACAAAACAAAGGGCAGATGCAGTAACTTACCAGGGTGAAGAAAAGGGTGAGGTTGGTCTTCTCTGCATCTGCTGTGATACGCAGGGAGGCGCTCTCTGAGTCACATGATCCAGAGGACTTCGTCGCATTGGGCTGAAGGTTCACAACATCCTGCACAGTCTGCAAATAGGCGATGGAACATTTAGCATTTCAAACTCGTTAATGTGTCCATATTTATTTTGCACTAGTCAGATAACTTTTGCGTGTTTGTAATTGAGCACCTTATTCTGGGAGAGAGAGTTGAAGGTGATGTTGAACTGGAGACCCATGGATGCCAGTAAACAGACGGTACCATTGCTGCTGATGACCTGGTAGTTTCCTCTTTCAGGTCTGCCGATGTCTTTGTGCGGTGCAGCAGTGGTTTGAGCCGTTGTGAGCGGGGCAACAGTAGCAAAACTTTGGTGCAGGACGACAGCTGCAGGAGATATTCAGTCGTGAGTGCAGAATTACAGAGATGCAAGGGGTTCAAAACTGAACACAAACGCAAGGTTTCTGCAGGGTTCACCAATTTGAGACTTTAAGACCTTTTAATATCACAGAATGCAATTTAATACCCAATTCACAATCATATTTCCTATTACTTCAGTAATATACAGTTGTGGTGCCGTCTTTTCCTTCATTCTGGGCCAACAAAAACTCTTGATTATGCGACAAAAACTGATGATCACAGGACAAGTTGGACATATGCTTGTAAAACAGTTCTCTATAATTAGGTTGTAGCAAACAGAGTGTGCGACTGTGCCAACTGAAACTTCATTAAGGATTAAAACAACCTCCTGCACACACAATCCACTGTCAACCAATCACACTTTTAGTTCATAGGTGTGCAACTCCTCCCGACAGCCTG